TTCGTATGTTCGTTTCTACTAGTTTATGTCGCTGTGGTACGAACGGTAGTATCTAACCTACCGTTCGTACTATATATATATATATATATATATACATTCCGTCAAGCTTCAGTTAAAGCTATGCAATCTGTAGTCCTGCAATACAAGGTGATCTACACCACTGCGTATATGCAAGTTGCCAATGAAAAACGATTGATTATAACCTGCACAATCCTGTCTGACCAAAGCCTTGTGCCTAATTTTATCAGGGGATCGACCTCGAACGGCAAACTCTGATGCTGCTACTCGACGATGGGGTCGCGCAGTCAATGTGGCGAAGGCTTTGACCAAAAGTAAGGTCACCAGAAGGTACCCACACATTCGAACGCACCCTCCACGTTTGCGTGTTTGTATTGATTCAATAAATAGGTCGCTAGTCGTTGCTGTGATTTGTCTGGTGTGCTGTTTATTTTATCTCTGTTTTCCGACGGTTCATGTCATTGCAGATGCCTAGAAAGACGCGTGCGAACTGCTAGCTCGTCTTTATCGTCGATCAACCCAATTTTATTATTTAATCTCTGATTCACACTTAACTCCAAACACGCGGGGTTGCGCTGTATCGCACAGAAAAAGGACTGACAGCAGACAGCCAGCAAGTCGGAGTTCTGCCGACGGATCGACTGATGTCAGAGTGGTGCTCAACGATGATCCAGGAGTCGTAAGTACTCTGCCCGGTGATTTGCCAGACCCGCACCCCAAGAGAAAGTATGTGAAAAGGTCAATATCGTTTGTATAAAGCGCTTTAGCGATTATGAATAGATGCTTCATATACAGCATGCGAGTGTTTTGCGGACCGTGTGCGTGATAACACACATATCGGACATAGTACATAGCAAGCATATCGTTAAGGTACAATTTTCAAGGCACCGTCGTTCGTTGACGGTGGGTTCGCGGTTTGTTATTACACGCATAAGATGAAGCACATATCCTCTGTAGTATATCGGCAGCGTCGCGGTAGTTGTATATCTGTCCACAGGTCCACATTTGCGTCATGTTCAGGATAAGTCGACATCCATGTACGATAACAATCACACTTTAGATATATTTCAGGGTGTGCCTCAGCTCTCGATATAAGCGTGGCTGCATCATGCTAATGATTGATGTTTCCATTTGCGCATCACAGGTACAGCTTACTATACCGAGTGTTGTGCGGCAGAAGCCACTTATGGCTGGCGCGATGGGTTAATATGGCTCTGGCGGTATGTTGTGGTTAAAATTTTCATACGTATATTATGCTGCAAACGTTTGTGTTTGAATGAATTTCTAATCAGATTGCTATGCTACAGAATGTTGTGGAATTGTCATCTATTTGTGTTAGATTGGTGGCAATCGTTGGGGCTGTCTGTTTGCCTTGTATGGCGATCCTTTCTTTAAGTGCCAGTATTGTCTGGATATCGTTCCACCCGTCCTTAAACTCAGACACAAGACTTCTCCAAACTTTGGCTAACAATCGTGTATTGGTTTTAGCTTATCGATTTGGGTCTGCTAAGTCAGCGATGAAATATCTTAGTGGTTGATGCTTCTATGCTTCGTCTATGCCTGTCGTTTTACAGATACTTATTCTAATCAATGCCGTAGCATTCATACTGGCATCGGTGGAGACCTTTGCGGAGAAGTATGAAGCGCCTCTGGATGTACTCGAAGGCATCTCGTCCACGATCTACCTTATCGAATATTCGCTGCGGGTCTATACTATCACAGAGTCGACATATTACCGTCCCTATGGACCCATAAAAGGAGTAAGTTATATTGTGTACCATACGGTGGATTGCATGTGTGGTGTCGCCATCGAGTCGTTATACAGACCCATCTGTACCATTCATTGGGGCTGAGCTGAAAGCTTCTATCTTATCATTGCCTCCCGAACAGGAAACTGTGTCTCCCTCTGCTTCATAAACTCATAACTCTATTACTCTACTTTATTCAGCGGCTGTACTACATATTCACATTCAATGCTCTTATTGATCTGATTGCCTGTCTGCCCTTCTTCATCGAAGTATTCACTCTGTACGAGCTTCCCAGTCTGACGTACCTCAGGGCCCTGCGTCTCACTCGCATCCTAAAAACCGAGCGCTACACGCGTGCCTTCTCCAGGTGTGTATTAATTTTGCTATCTGTTTCCCGGAAGGTGTCGTCTGGTGAATCGAATTGAGCACCGGTTGTCCGATAGTCGCCGTTGTTATTTGGTGCTCCAGTTGCGATACAGAGGGCTCGTACTCGTAATTCTAATTATCTTTCAATCCTTTCGTTCTGATTTCAAGCGTCTATCGGATAGTATGGTACAATGGGGAGATCTTGGGCCTCTGCCTGTTCCTTTCCATGATTCTGATGCTCTTCACAAGTACGCTCCTGTACTACTTACGTCCCGGTACCGAACCGGCAGCAGCCCTAACGGCAATGACGAATCATGTGTACAGTGCCATGGGAGGGGATGTCAATAATAGGTTAGTTTTACGCTTCTTACGATTTGATTTTGGTTAGTTTGTTGTTGTGTTCAATATGGAGTTGTAATAAATTTGACCTCGAAGTTGATTTAGACCGTGCGATTTTCACGACACTCTCCCAGAGTTTGTCTTTGGTATGATGTGGCCTCATCGGTTTATAAAATTGGAAAGTGTGCACTATTATCGTCACTATAAACTTTGAATGGTCAATTTTGTTGACTTTTGTTAATATCGGTTCTCGCGGGCTACCGCATATCTAGCATATCTCAGGCTACCAACGATGCAGATCCGAGCGACTTCTCATCGATTCCCGCCACATTTTATCTGTCTGTACTGATGTTGACTGGGCAGGGTCAACCGGAAGGGTATGTCTCGCCGTCTATTCTACGGGGGCCTTTGCGTACCACTAATTTCTCAGCCTGTGTATCTTTTCTCCATCTTCTTCATGCCAAGAATCACGAAAAGCAACTATTTGATTACGGAAACGTTCGTTTACGAATGCGAAACCTATCTTGTCAATGTTAGAATGAGGTCGGTTCCCACGTACCTGTATGTATTTCATGGGCTAGTGGGGCACTGACCAGATTTTTATGTTGAAATAAATTTTCTCACAGATATATGCCGTGGTACACAAAGACCGTTTGCGCGCTGACAGGTACGTGTATATACCGCCATTGGTTGCTTGTGAACATAGACCGTAGCAAGGTACCTCATGGGAAAAAATCGTTCAGTATTAGTTTGATGATCCCCAACGGATGCCCGCCCACACCAGCTCGAATATTTGAGTACTTTGAGAACATGAGAATGTCTATGGGATTACTAGGCTGCGATGGCAGAATACGATATCCTTATTACCGCGAGTCGTGTCATCTTTATACGTAAGAATTAACATGAAATGCGCGGATGCACTCAGCTATATTCTCCGTGGCGATCTTTGCGATCCCGGCGTCAATGCTTACCTGGGGGTTTGAGGCTGAGGCCGAGCGCATCATGAGGAAGGCCCGAGACAAGCGCATAGAAATAGAGGCTATCAGGAGCGCTCGGAGAGCTGTGATCGAAGCAGCCGTTGCCAATGGCGAGCAACCACCGGAGGCTTTGGTAAGCATGGGGTTTAAGATTTGAGTCTATCCGTATTCAGCGTGCCGGAGACTACATTGCTCTTGTCCTGATACATTAATTGCAACGTGCGTATCGTCCTTCATCTCAAAGTTACGACCTGAATGATTTGTCCCTTGCAAGGATGTAATTGGACGAGTAACGATCGGGGGTACACGTACAGCGATTCGATTTGATTGCCTGTTCAAAGCGTGCATTATCGGAGTTCGTTCATACGCTCAGGCTAACAAAAATCTTGATCACTATCATCACCTGACTTCGCAGGCGGAATTCGATGCGCAAAGCACTTCCGACTACGACACATCTACGGGTGACAGTTCATTTGACAGCGAATTGAGTGCGACAGACGAAAGCAGTTCGACTGACTCGTGGGATGAATACGAGAAAGCTGCGCTGGGAGATGACGATGCAGCCGGTGTGTAGTGCATGTGTTGTTAAGTGTGGATATATATTGTGTTTGTGTGTCTGCGTGTGTTATGTGTTTGTTGTGGGGGTGTATTGATTTCATTGTTCACCATCTGACTCTCACTTCATGTCAAGTCTTGAAGTTTGATTGAATAACCTTTGTGGAAGTTGGATTGATGCTTTTGATGACAGAATGCCAATATCTTTCTAATAGTTGTTTATTGAGACCTTTGTGTTTCAAGTCACGTGCAAGCCTTTCGTGTTTTATGTGTCCGTTGTGATGGGATAATATATCGCATCACAATTTTCGGCAAGTATGCCCATTCTGCTAGCGAAGCCCTCTCGAATCTCTTACCAAGTATTTTTCACGCTATACAACCCCAATATGATGGCCAGGACTTTTTACAGCGACGTGTTGTGTTTCATTATAGCTGTTATAATAAGAATGAACCAAAAACAAAATCGAGTATATACTGATTTGCCTCAAACTCAAATCACCGACCAAATTGATGCGCCAGACCCTACACCTGGTCCGTCCACGATATCCGCTTTCCCAGCTCCAGTTCCCGAGAGTCCTTTGATCTTCAGTTCGCCTCGTCGTGCCCCAAAACGCACACATTCAGGAAAAGACACCCCAGTACTACGCGTGGGTGCTATGCTGGGTGAGCTCTCACTCGCCGCATCCGTCGCCACTGCCAAAAGCCCAGCGCCCGGTGCAGAGCGAAGGCTCAGCGTAGGCCCAGGTGACGGCAAGACGACGAAATTGTTGTGTGAATGCTGTTGTACCGGTCAGTGTAGAGGAACTACCGAAATGAAGGAGATGCACGAGAAACTTGCGGGTATAGAGCAGCAGTTGGCTTTATTGTTGGAGAAAGTGAGTGGCATTGTGTAGTGGTAGTGGTACATGTCACACCCATCCGCTGCTTTAGGAAAGTGATGGATGGGCTGTTTCTGTATCGTTGATGGTATGTATAGACACTCGTTTCGCACACCACTGCCACGCAGACGTATGCCCAGCATCCGCAGCAGATTTTACAGGCCTGCTCACAACGCTTCTACCGAGTCCACGTGCTATTGTTCCGGAGCGGACAGTCAGTGCCTCTGGATTGCGAGAAACACCAATCGGACTCAACGGGAATCATTGTGGAAGGATAGAGGTCATGCTCTCGATTAGCCGCTCGTTCATCACGCAGTGACGAGACTACGCCAATGTAGCGTATGAGCTAACACCCCCTGCCTGAGTTTGAATATATCGACACAGGGCGTGGGTGACTGTGGGATACTCATCTGCGTATGATTCCGACCACACTGTCGCTTCACTTTGAACCCCTTGGTAGTACCTTTACTATAAGTCAGTGCGGAGTGCAGCAGATTTCATCACTGAAATAATCACTGAAATATCTGCCCATACAAGTCCACGTGGGTTCTTACTGTTGATGTTTCTACTATGGACGTTCAAACTGTCAAAACTTAGGAACAAGAAAAACCACGTCAATAAACTTTCCTCAAATCTGCAAAAAAAATATCTGGCAGAAAATCGATCGTATGCTGAAACCTAGAACATGATGTCTTGGTTAGATTTTCGGAGGTCACGACAACATTTCGCGGACTTGCGTAGATGCAATATCATCATTCCATATATAAACAATATCAGGCTGATAACGCTTCCGATGTATGTTTTCAATTGTTTTTTAGTTTTTTTATTTAAAATCACTTCCCATTTCGCAACCTAAGAGGCAGATTTGAAGGCACAATAACTAATGACTATCACATCTAGGCCTTACCCCCCGTAGTTCAGATACACATAGACCACCCTAGGCGCGACATCCGATAGAGCAGTTACAGCGCTCCAGCAAGCGGTCTGCGTACTTACTCATCGTTACAATGGTTGTGCGACATTGGTGCCAAATACGGTAGGAAGGCTATTAAAAGTTTCAAAGATACTCTATACCGTATGGTATCGTCAATTGCCCATCTGAAGTGCTGGAGTGACAACTGTAGTAACGTTGCCAGCTTATATGTGACGAAAGTCGAAACATACGCAACGAACGTACTAACCAATTGTTGCTGCTCTGGGCCTCTTAGGATTCGCTACGAGGCCTCATACCTATTCCGAAACAAATCTGTGAGATGGCTTTTTTTCTTCGATTTTAGGGTTTTCAAAGTTCAGGGTTACTAAAACCCTAAACCCTCAATTCAGTATGCAACTGCACAATACTCAAAAGAATCCGAGGAGGTATATGTTTGCGTGAGGAATATGTTCCTTGCGATTCTCCCACGTCTTCCCGTTCTTTAATATATTCACATGTACGAACAGCTTGTTAGTCCCCAATATATCTATAAATAATTGGCCAACAGTGCCCTGTGACCATCCAGGTCTACTCTACTCCCGGTCCTTGTTCATGTCCACCATTTTCTTGTACTTGCCATCCCTCAATGTGATCAATTCGTCGTGCGTGCCCATCTCCGCAACCACACCCTCGACGACGACGGCGATGACGTCCGCTTTTCTGACTGTGGCTAGTCTGTGTGCTATCATAATCGTCGTGCGAGACGCGCTCACGGCATCCAAGGCTTGCTGGACAGCTCGCTGTGGGAGAGGATAATGGTGGTGTGTGTGTGGAGGAGGGGGGGTAGCATAAAGAAATTTGATTAGTATATTTCGGGTCAGTGTCCGTGGTGGGGTTTAGGAGGCAGAATAAAGTGAGATGTAAAGCAAACGCCTGCAGAACTATAGCCATGCGTCGTATTGTTGGTATATGCCATTTACTATCGTGGGCATTGCAGAATTACAAACTGCACAAGAGTATACGGTATTGTTTTATAAAGCGAGCCCACAAACCAAGTACAAAGCACTAGCCGTATTGACATACACGATTACAGCAGTCTCCTACGAGAACCCTTTGCTAACAACCCAACCACACACCTCGCTTTCTGCATCTAGCGCCGACGTAGCTTCGTCCAGCAGCAGAATCTGCGGATCACGTAGCAACACACGGGCTATCGCCACTCTCTGTTTCTGGCCACCGGAGAGGCGCATTCCCCTGACACCTATGTGGGTGTCAACGCCCTCCTCCAGTTCATCGATAAACGACAGTGCATTGGCCTGCTGTAGTGCGTCCCGAATGGCTTCCTCCTGCATCGAAACACCGGAAGTCATTAAATCGCGTATGTAGTTTGTGAATGATGTGTATTGATCAAGCGTACTGCATGGGGCATAAGCGAGGCTATAGCAGAATAAATAAGTAGATAAATAAATTTGATGCCCGTGATAGACAGGTAGCTTACCGTGACTAGACGAACTTCCGATGGCGAAAGACCGTACAAGAGATTGTCGCGCACAGTGCCGGTGAACAGGTCCGGTTCTTGGCCCACAAATCCCACAGTTCGTCTCAGAGATGATATGTTGACGTTCTTCAAATCGTAGTCATCCATCGTGATTGAACCTTTCCTAGGTAGGTAGAAGCGTTCCAACAGAGAGATGGCACTAGATTTACCACACCCTGTAGATTATCAAACGATTGCGGCGAATTAGGAAGCCCTCCTTGTTATGATAGAGAAATATAGTCCCATAGCGAGTTCCATGGCAATTAGGTTTCGAACAATCGCCTAAAATCATCATACACCATCGTTTGCCCAATCAGATCCAAACCAAATGTGTATCGACACCGTCGACCTACACGGTGATGAACCACCCGCACAAAGTTCTGCACGACGTAACATTTGAACAAAACATACCACTCTCCCCCACCAATGCCAGCGTCTGTCCCGCAGCCACACCGATTGTAAAGCCATCCAGCACAACAGCGCCTGGTCGCGATGGGTATCTGAACTCGACATTGTGGAAGGTGACATCGCCTCTCAGAGGTATCCTGGGGACACTTATGTTGACTACCGACGCTGTACTGTCACCCATGGACACGGTGCTCTCCTCTTGGAGACCCACATGCGAGCCGTGAGATCTGTCGCTCATGTTCACAGCTAAAGAAACACGGGTATGTAGTATATACATTAGATAGGCAGCGTACAGTGTGCATGAAGCATTTACGTTGGCCAAGAAAGGCAAAGTTGGCACGCGACGATATGAGTGAAGCAGAACTTGTACCAAAATATGAATATATGTATATGTATGTATATATATATATATATACATACGTACATGCATACATACATACATACATAATATATA